CATGGAAGAGGGCGAGTTCTACAAGTATTTAGGATTCCAACAGGCCAAACTAACAGAACACACACAAATAAAGCAAACATTAATTAAAGAATACCAAAGTAGGTTAAATGCCATTCTCAAAACACAGCTAAATGCAAAATACACAGTTAAAGCAATAAACACATATGTCATCCCAGTACTCACTTACTCTTTCGGAGTTATACATTGAACTCACACAGATCTTGAGCAACTCCAAAGGAAAACAAGAACAACGCTTACTAAGCATAAACAACATCATCCTAAATCCACCACAGAAAGATTAACCCTTCTACATAAAGATGGCAGACATGTCTGATTGACATAGTTAACCTTCACTACAAACAAATACAGTCACTGTGAGAGTTTTTCTACAGGAAACAAGAAACATCACAATTACATAAAGCAGTAACTCTAGCAGACTCAAATAGCACACCATTAAACTTACACTTACATCATACAGACATGACACAACACATAAAGAGCATAGACACCATTAAGCAATTGTGGGCTCAAAAGGCACTCCACAGCAGGCATCCTTTGACCTGGCCCAGGATTTTGTTGACAAAACTGCGTCAAATATCTGGTTAGATCGGGGATGCCTCTTTGGGAAGATGGAAGGATTCATGATTGCCATACCGGATCAGGTCATAAATACTAAAAACTACAGAAAACACATACTCAAAGACACAACACTCACAAATGACACATGCAGAAAATGTCACATTGTGCCAGAAACTATACAACACATCACTTCTGGGTGTAAGCTCTTGGCACAGACAGATTATTTACACAGACATAATCAAGTAGCAAATATAATACACCAAGAGCTTGCAAAGAAACACAACTTGGTAGATATTCACGAGCCATACTACAAGTATATTCCACAGACAGTATTGGAAAACTACACGCACAAAATGTATTACGACAGAGCCATAATCATAGATAAAACAATTTATCACAACAGACCAGACATCGCACTCATTGACGAACACAATAAAATCACATACATTATAGACATAGCCATTCCAAACACTCACAATGTACAAAACACATGCACTGAAAAAATTAGCAAGTACACAGAACTAGCCCAGGGAATAAGGCATCTGTGGAGGATGGATAGGGTAAGCATTGTACCTGTCGTTCTCTCCTGTACAGGTGTGATACCACACACACTACACAAAAGCCTGGGAACATTACAATTGAGTAGAAATACATATATCACACTACAGAAGGCCACTATATTGAATACATGCCACATTGTTAGGAAATTCCTGAATACAGACACACACACTGACACACTTATTTAATTTTAGTTTTGTTTTGGTTGCTATGCCTTGACTCTGGTCCGGCATAGTACACAGCCACCAGTGTGAACTGAGTATAACTCACAAAACCCAACATAATAATAATAGTAATAGTAACAACAACTGAATTTTAAAACCTTTAAAAAATGGAATAATATTCCAAAAACAACAAAATTAATAAAATATTTATTGCTCAAAAATGCATTATATTAATGTTTTTATGACTAACACATCATTAATCAGTTTTGTAAATATGTTTTGATAATACTTAAAATACTTCAATTAAAATGTAGTACACAGTTACACAGTTATATATTTATTAGTTTATTTATTTTATAAAATAAATGAAAAAATGAATACTTTATTTTTTAAATCAAATATCAATAAATTATTTATAATATCTAATATCATTATTTTATTTTTGTTATTGCTTACTTTGTAGTATTAACAGGTTCTGGAATGTATGGTCCATCTGATGGTCCAGCTTGTTTATACCAATCATCATCACTTGCTGCTGATAAAGTATAATCAGGTGGTAAAGCACAGGCAATAGCAATTAAACATGGAAGAGATTTATTGAAAAGTTCTGGATCATATTCCTAACATAATGAAATAAATTTATTTTATAAACTTATCTATTATGTAAATTTATATTTTATTACATTTATATTAATATTGTATAAATTTACTATATATTTGTTCATTTTTCATACTAAAAAAAATTGAAGTTTCTTACATTGAAAGAATAATTATTTATTTCATTGAATATTTTAAACTAAACCAACTTATGTAAACTTGAAGATGGTCTTTCAATAAGACTAAAAACATTAGTTATTTAATATTTTAAAAATTTTGTATTTATCTTCAGATTAAAATATCTTATTCTGTACTTATATTTTATATTAAATAATAATAATAAATTTTTTTGGAGTAATGAATTCTGATGTCTTAATATTTGTGTTTAAAATTTTAATAATTTATTTTTTAATTTTGCTTTTTCAGGTAAGTGATTTGAAGATATATTATGCCTAAGAAAAAGATGCATTTCTCTGCTAGAGGGTCTGAAGTAAAAAAAGTTATTTCATTTGGACTCTCAATGAGTCAAAACTTTCAGAATTGGTACAGAAAGATTTTGATGTTAAAGAGGAGTTATCACTTTTGATTCAACTAAACCTAAAACAGAAATCAACATTACATAACATGGTTTCAAAAGTAAAAAGAATCTTTTCTTGAATTGACAATTTAGACAAGGCATTGGTGCAATTGAAATCTAGAATTATTGTTTGGAAATGAGTTCAAGAATACAAGCATCTGATAATATTTCACTCTCAAACTGGGAAAGTGTCTAATATTTTTTAATAGATTTTGATTTAAGTCCAGAGAAATTTTCATGTTTTATTAAACATAATGATTTAATTATTTCCAGTATACTGAAATCAGAGGATGAAATTGATAAACTCATGAGGCTTAACATTTTGAATTTTTTCTTTGTAAAGCTAAATATTTCAAAAGTTGATCTAGAGCAGGGGTGGCCAACCTGCGGCTCGCGAGCCACATGCGGCTCTTTGAAGGATTATTTGTGGCTCTCGATAAATGTACCCGAGTTCCCTTTTCATTTTTGTGTTATTATATTTTAAAAAATTATTATCGTTCTGTATGTGTTTCAAAATGTCTCAAATTACTAACAACAAATACGAAAGACTAAGTGCAACATTGTAACAAATTTCATTTCCGTCCAAGTTAAGAATGATATGACTCATTGAAAACTGCGCGAACGAACATAAACAGTGGCGTAATTGTCCGTTATCGACCGACTCCAGACCGATTTTGAATTTGTAAACTGTCATTGTAACGGACAGTTGACATTGTGCTCTGGAGGAAACAATTTGTATCTCTCTTGCTACGGATATAATTTGTAATGTGGAATTTTTGGTAAGTTAACTATAATTTGTTTCGTAGTATGTACACGTGTTGTTATTGTTTTAATAACACAAAACTTGTATTTTCTAAATTTCTTTATTTATTTCCAGTTCTTTTAAAAAAATGACGACAGAGAATGAAAAAAAAAAAAAGTTTTAATAAAGAGTGGTAGGAGAATTTCTTTTTTGTTGACAATNTATTGTTTTAATAACACAAAACTTGTATTTTCTAAATTTCTTTATTTATTTCCAGTTCTTTTAAAAAAATGACGACAGAGAATGAAAAAAAAAAAAAGTTTTAATAAAGAGTGGTAGGAGAATTTCTTTTTTGTTGACAATAACGGAAAAGCATTATATGTTATTTGTAATTCTACGGTCAAAAATTATAAAGCTAGCAATTTACGTCGACATTATAAAACCAATCATCCTCAGTTTTCTAATCAGTATCCACCAAATTCCAAATTAAGATCAGATAAACTTGCTTCTTTAAAATCAAATTTAAATAAACAACAGTCAATTTTGACGACCTTTAGCAATNTAGCAATTTACGTCGACATTATGAAACCAATCATCCTCAGTTTTCTAATCAGTATCCACCAAATTCCAAATTAAGATCAGATAAACTTGCTTCTTTAAAATCAAATTTAAATAAACAACAGTCAATTTTGACGGCCTTTAGCAATCAAGCAAATAATGTGGCTGAAGCCAATTTTGTTATTGCCTGGAATATTGCTCGTGCAAAATGCCCGTATGGAGAGGGAGAGTTTATTAAAAAAAACTTGGAAGATGTACTTAAAGTTTTAGATCCAAATAATGCAGCATTGCACATAATTGTTTCGCAAATTCCCATCTTGAGACACACAACCGAACGACGCATAACTGCAATTAATACATCTCTTGAATATAATTTAAAAAATGATTTGAAGAACTGTATTGCATTCAGCTTAGCCCTTGACGAATCGACAGATATCACAGATCTTCTGCAATTGGCAGTTTTCATACATTTTGTTTCACCTGACTTCGTTGTTAAAGAAGAATGATTAGATTTAGTAGCATTTCAAGAGTCAACCCGCGGTGTCGATATTAAAAATGCATTAGATTCCATAATGAAAACTTTTGATGTGCCTCTTAATAAACTTGTAAGCATTGCAACTGATGGAGCTCCGGCAATGCTGGGTAAAAAAGTCAGTCTTATTGGGCTTTTAAAAGATGATTCTCAAATTCCACAATTCATACCGATTCACTGCATAATTCACCGAGAACATCTCGTTACAAAATATTTAAAATATCCTGATGTTATGAAAACAGTGTTATACATTGTAAATTACATTCGCACCAATGCAAAAAATCATCGACAATTCAAAAATTTCCTTGAAGAATTAAAGAACGAAGAACTTCCAAATGACATTAATTTCTTTTGCATTGTTAGATGGTTATCTAGCTACAACATATTAAATCGATTTGTAGATTTGTTTGATCCGATAACTGCATTTCTAAAAGAAAAGGAAATAACCTATTCAGAATTAGACGATGACGAGTGGTTACAAGACTTAATGTTTTTGACTGATGTCATGGAACATTTGCAAACACTGAATTTACAATTGCAGGGGAAAGATAAAATAATATCTGACCTCTCACAGTGTATATTTAGTTTTTAAACTAAATTACAACTTTTTCAAAAGGACATTAAAAGTAAAACATTTTGTCATTTTCCTCGAATTAAAAAAATTTGTT